AACCCATGAGTTTTCAGTTTACAAACTCAGCTACGAAGTACAAGCAACCCAAGTACCAAAATCAAAGACAAACATATTCCGGACTTATATTATAGTAGAACTGGCCAAACGGATAATGAAAGATCCAATACTAAACCTCAACCTAAACCCCCAAGCCCCAGACATTCCCTAAACACTCTGGGCTGCCCCACCGCCACCGGCATCTCCGTCGGTGATGGACGCTCGGTGGGAACGGGCAGCTCGCTGGGCGACTGTGTGGCAGCCTGAGCTTAGTTGAGGCTTCCTAAACTAACGAACCCAATAGGGCCCAAACTCCAAGCCCTAGGTTGTCTTTGGGTGAGTTTGAGGTGGTGAAGTTCGTGTTTTTGCTGCAGACTACAGGCCTTTTCAAGTTCTTGGTTGTTCTTGTCTTCCAAAGAATGCCGCTTCATGCTTTTAACAGGGCTGTTAGGCTCAGGTTTTCTGCACATAATCGGGTTTGGCCTGTAGTTTTTGGGGGTTAGGGCTCAAGGTTCTTATCGTTCAGGGCTTAGTCTCCATAGGTTTTAGTGAATTTAGTGTTGTAAGCCTGGTAATGTTCAGGGCTCTATGCGTCAGGTCTTAGGTCTTAGAACGGCTGCCTGAAGAGAAGTAGTAACCAGAACTTAGACTAGCGGTCAAGCTTATACACTGCATCAAAAACAACAGGGCACTTCTTTGTTTGGTTCAGGGTCCTGTTGTCTGGTGGACTAGATTGTAGGATTGAGTGCTTCGGGACTGCGCTGCTGCACGGCATTGTCCAACACAGCAACGGCATCAAGAAGCTCCTGGGCTGCAAAGCTACAATCCCGACCTGGAGCTTCAGGTTTGTTGGGCGTAATGTAGGGGCCTTAAGAATTAGAATAGGGTTTTGGGGCCCGTTATACTACACTTATAGTAAGGAACCACCAAAGTAGTATTGGTAATTGTTAGGGCCCTGTCTTACCTTCTCAAGACACACTATACTACAAGTAATGACAGTTTCCACAACTGCTTGAGGTTTTGGGGCATCCCTAAACCCTAAACCGTAGCCTAGGGCTTTTGGACCTGGAAGGTCTTGGCCCGGCTGTATAAGGGCTCCGGGCATGCAGATACAGCTTAAGTTCGTCCCAGACATGGTGGGTGTTTCAGAAACCAGGTGGATCCTAATGTTGAAGGTTTAGGGTCATATTGGGCTTTGGGCTGGAGTTTAAAGATACAGAACCATAGTTGGACCATAAATGATAGGACCCACACTATGCGGCCCTCCGAATAGGGACTCCTAGATACTCCCAGTATTCTGAAACTTCAGAGAGCATGCCGTCATTAAACCTCAAACCCCGTTGCCCGATCTTTGGCGCAATGCTTGAACATTGCAAAGCCAACGCACAACATACAGGAATAACATACGAACAACACGCACCAAACACTGAAGCAAAACAGCACATAACGCGAGGCAGCTAACCTTAAACCAACCGCTTTGCTTTTGTTCGAAGGAGCCCACCAAGTAAGCAAATGCTCATATATAAAACAAGAAACCCTCAGAAGACCTTTTCAGCTCCGATGAACTCCACATTAAATGAGGGCCGGACCGAAGACGAGACACCCATCGCCGACGAGAAAGCCTGAGGATGGCAGGACGAGATTTTCATGACGGGTTCGTGTGCGGGTTCCTGTAAGGGTCTCTATACGGAACATGCATAAATCTAGAGGAGCTGAACCTAAACAAAGTTCTCGAACCCCCCAAACCGTACACCATCCTTGTTTTGACAACGTTGGCTTCTGCGTAAGTTACGATATCCACCCACATAAAAACCGAAGCCCCGCAGGTCCTTGCAAAACCCCTTTCTGCACGACTTGCAAAACCCACAATGGTTTATAACAACCTTCATGAACACCCTATAAAATCCTCTCATGCTCTACAGAGGCACGTTGAGAATCCGCCACGTCCGGCTGTCGGCTAGAGTGACTTAGAAACTAGAAATCTCGATCTAAAGCTTAATCTAAACCCGAGCTTCAGGCTAATGGTGGTTACGGTTAGAGTGACATCATTCAGTGGCTCCCAAACCCCATCTTGTATGGAATACGAAGTACTGATTTTAAATACTGGAATATTTGTCTTTGAGTGTACTCAACATATTAAATACTGTACTAAATTAGTGGATTGATTTCCAAAGAAATGCCTCACCTGTTGGGTCAACATCCGACTCATGATGCCAACATTTCCCCTCTGATCCACCGTGGGTTCTGATGCATGTGCAGCTTCCACTGGTCTGTCCAGTGGCCGCAGTTCAATAGCATCGTCTCCAAGGTCACCTCCATGGTGTACAAGTCCAAGTCGGTCCTATGATAAGTGGGCACCTGAAACATCCAGCTGTTGGGTGTGGTTGCTCGGCTGAGCATATCGTTTCCAAAGGCTGACTGAACATCATCGACGAAGCATACCTCGAGCACAGCACAGTCCCTTGAGTTCAGGAGGTGTGCAGCTGAACCTTGGTCCAGCTTCCGGCTGCAGGGATTAACATGGGTACGCCAGTTTTCTGGAACATTTGCAACATGCGCTTCTTGTGGGTGAAGTGGTCCAAAACTCCACAGTCTCATGATCGTCGATGTTCCCAGCAAAAAATACGACAGCACAGACTTCTGCGCAGCCACTCTTTGCCGAGGTAGCTTTCCATGTGCATTCCAAGATGGGTCCAAGAACCTGGCGGCTATCCTCTAATGGAAAATAAACAAAACTGGCAGGATTGCAGCTCGCTGCTAGCTACCAGCAACCGGTTATGGATGGAGGTTGTAACAGTTACTATAGCCACTACATCACTGCGTCGTAGGAGCCCCAGATTTCTAGCAGGACCTAGTGATGGGCATGCTAGTTACTTGATTACTACTTGTGCGTTACTGCTAATTACTAGCTACTGTACTAGGCAGTTCCTAGTCTCTTGTCTAAGAGTCGGCAAACCCTACAAATTAGTCCATTAGCTATGACGCTGCAACCAGCCACACATCTATTCCAATATATCGGGAGTTTGCATGTGGCTAAAGTCCGGAGGTCCAAGCATTCAAAAATTGACCCCACCAGGCCCATCAGAATCATCAAGCTGACAAGGTCGCTAGCTAGCAGCTAGCAGCCAGCGGCGAGAAGCCTGCCAAACCCTTCATAAAAGCTAAACCCGAAAACACTAAACCCAAAAATCCTAAACGCCTAAATCCCCCTCCTAAACCTCTGAATCAAGGCCCTCGAAGACACGAACGCTCCAAAGGCCCCAAGGTCAGAGCATGAGCGAAACCGGGGGCCGGCACCTGCCAGGTCTCTCAGACCATTTGGGTTTTGGGCTTCGGGTTAACGCCTTCGGGTCTTTGGTTCGGTGTGTATTCTTTGTTCAGCCTCCTTTTTCCTGATGTCTAGGGCTTGGAGTTCGGGGTTTAGGATTTAAACCTGTGCCAAACTCTGCATCTATACGCAGAACGAAACACGGCCTGTCTTCGAGTGTCAAAATGGGGGCCAAGGAGAGGCCCCTATATTCAATCTAGAGCGCCTTGGCGAAGATATGTGTATGTGTGTGTATATACATATATATATATATATATATACATATATATGTGTGTGTGTGACTGTGTGTGTGTGTGTATTTGTGTATATATATATATATATATATATATATATGTATACATGTGTGTATATATATGTATGTGTATATATATGGTACCCCCCCCCCCGGAATCCACACCCTCAAGCCTTGCTGCAGGTGCGATCCTCGAGTGCATGGTCAAGTTCTTCACTGCTTCCTTCGTTTTTTGTTCTTTTGGTTTCGTTCGCATGTCCAGTGCGCCGGTATAGTGTTGTTCGTCTTGCTGTGTATGTCTACATGTGCATGCAGAAAACACTGTACGTGAATGTGTACGTGCACATGCACATGTAACTGGACGTGAAACTTGACATGCTTCTCTTTACTCTCTTCCAAAAGCCTGATCTTCCCAAGATTGGTTTTTTTGAGACCCTTTCAGTGTTTGAGAGCCCTGAAGCTCCCAAGTCTCGAGAGGGTCTCAAAAAAACCAATGTTTCGCTATCGAAAAATAGCGAAACCTTGAGAGGGTCTCAAAAAAACAATAAAAACCAATCCCGTACACTCTTCAGAAAGCCTGATCTTCCAAAAATTGGTTTTTTTGAGACCCTTTCAGTGTTTGAGAGCCCTGAAGCTCCCAAGTCTCGAGAGGGTCTCAAAAAAACCAATGTTTCGCTATCGAAAAATAGCGAAACCTTGAGAGGGTCTCAAAAAAACAATAAAAACCAATCCCGTACACTCTTCAGAAAGCCTGATCTTCCAAAAATTGGTTTTTTTGAGACCCTTTCAGTGTTTGAGAGCCCTGAAGCTCCCAAGTCTCGAGAGGGTCTCAAAAAAACCAATGTTTCAGACACCGGTAACTCCGAAGACCTGCCACGATTGGTTTTTTAGGTTTTTTTGAGACCCTCTCAAGGTTTCGCTGTTTTTCGATAGCTAAAGATTGGTTTTTTTGAGACCCTTCCAGTCTTTGAAAGCTCTGAAGCTCCCAAGTCTCGAGAGGGTCTCAAAAAAACCAATACCGGATCTTCTAAAGATTGTTTTTTTTGAGACCCTTCCAGTGTTTGAGAGCCTTGAAGCTCCCAAGTCTCGAGAGGGTCTCAAAAAAAAAATGTTTCAGACACCGGTAACTCCCAAGACCTGCCACGATTGGTTTTTTAGGTTTTTTTGAGACTCTCTCAAGGTTTCGCTGTTTTTCGATAGCGAAAGATGGATTTTTTTGAAACCCTTCCAGTCTTTGAAAGCTCTGAAGCTCCCAAGTCTCGAGAGGGTCTCAAAAAACCAATGTTTGAGACACCGGTAACTCTGAAGACCTGCCACGATGCACAGTCTCATGAATCAGACGATGTCTCGTGCAGAATGATGGTGTCAGAAGCAAATGTTCTTGATGCAGACTACTCGCTCAAGTTATTTTGCTGTAGCTTTTGCCCCCTTGTGTCGCTCATGGCGTCCTTGCCACCGCAGAGGTCGGTGTCACTCGCGCAATCCATGAACGAAGCTACTTTGGACGGCACAACTACATGGGAAGAAGCCATTGGCATCACCGATGGTATGAAAATCATGACTTTGGACAAGCCGTTGGTAGTGAATAAGCCCATTGGTGCCATCAAGATCGGGGACCTGCCTGCAAAAGACGAGATCGTGGACAGTATGAACAAAAAGGTGCAGTTTTTGGAAGTTTTGATGGACTACGAGGGTGACCTAGACCTCAAAATCATCGAAACTCTCTTCAAGCAGCAGAGGTACAGCGATCTCCCTGAGCCAATCAAGATGAAAGGTAACAATCTCCATCCCTACACCATGCAATTGTTCTTGCTGCCAAAAGGGGCGAACAAATGGGATATTGTGAAGCATGTCAGGTTCGCCGACGGCACCAGGATGATGAGTTCAACCATTAAAACGATGTGCACGGGGAGGCCTTTGGAGATTAACTACCAGAAGAATTTCCGTGAAGGTTCTCGTGCCTTACAATATCTATTGGAAGGCTTGGGTGGGTTTCAGGTTCGGTACCACCAACTCGTCCCTGGGAATGCAAGCACCAAGCCGGTGAAGGAAACGGAAGACATCCGCAAAGGCTTCACCTTCCTGAAGGAGCACGGGCCGCAGGAAAATTCCAACGGCGAGTTCACATCTTGGACGGAGGAGCAAGTCAATGATCCAAACGGACCGTTGTTTCGGTGGGACAGGGGCACTATCAAAGAATATCTTCGTTGTTTGGCGGACAAAGGGTCGCAAGCGAAAACTATCGCAGACTGGCCGCTCACTCTCGTAGACTTCACTCCGTGGGCCATCAACCTAGTCATCGCACCGGTCTTGCCTTATGTCATCGAGAGCGGTGTCATCTGGATTGGTAAATCCTATGTTGGCAAAAGCCCGCTGTCCTACACACTCGCAAAGGTTCTTTCCGCTTATTGGCTGCTCCAAGAGGGTCGTGACGACCAGGGGCCTACATTCCAGACGGCAAATCATCTAGACTACTTCCGGAAGGAGATGGGGCGTCGGACAAAGCCGCGCGTCTACGACGATGGCAACCTTCCAACAGAGCTCCCTGCATCGGTGAAAGCTATTTTGGAAGTGTCGGGTGTGGATCGCAAGACCATGGCGCGATACAATGCGTCATCGTATGAAAAGAATCAGTTTTGTCAGGTGTGCTCGAACCCCTACGACCACCAAGCCGCCAAGCCCATGGACAAGAATGTATCTTCTGATCAGGTTGACTTCAAGACCTTCTACGACTTGGTGCGTCCTTCATTTCACAAAGACTTCAATGATGAAGATCTGATTGCCGTTTTCAAGCGGTCTGCCATCGTCGTGTTCACAGACATGGGCATCTATGTTCGTCCTCCAGGCACACAGCAAGCACCAGTCAAACGGCATGCTTGGCCTTCCGATGACCTCGGCATGGTGTCGCCGTGCGCCAGGCCAATCTTCGACGCCTACAAGAAGGGTAATCTCTCCAAGCTGCCGCCCAACCACAGCGTCAACTTACAATGGTCGCTCAACTTGTTGCAAGCCGCCCTCGACGGTGAAGCGGTTGGCCGGTGTTACACAGTTATGCAAAAGGACTTCTCTGGTAAAAAAGTTGTGCGTGAGTGCCGTCCTGAGCTCGCCAACATCGACGCCACGACCGTCTTCTATCCCGACCTCTGCCAAGATGCTCCAGCTAGCCTCCCTGCCAAGCGCCTCAAATCTGTGCGGTCTTCCAATGCTCTGCTCACCAACGAGACCAGTCATGACGAGCACCACCATGACGAAGATAAACCGAAGCAGGAATCTCATGCAGTAGACCTCAATCCCCAGATGTCTGCTCCAAGCGTTTCTCGGCTGAGGCTGGTATGGTGAGGGTTTGAGGTTTTAGGTTTTTTACTATGATTGTTTTTTTTGTTTTCTCTTATGGTTGTGTGCTTTTCTTGTACTAAGGTCACCATAAAAAAAGAGCCGGAGGACGTCAAGGCAATGTTTGCAAACTTAAAAAGATCATCTGGCAACAGACCTCTGCAGATTAACATCTCAGACTCATCATCAGCTGCATCTCCGTCAAAGGCATCCCCCAAAGCATCTCCCCGACCGGTGACTGCATCTATTCTTCAAAAGTCAGATGTACAACTCGACCTTTCGCCATCTTCTGCGGCATGTGCAAAGCCCAGGTCTTCATCTCCGTGGCCTTCTCCGAAATCGAAGGTCCCATCGCCAAAGACATCTGCAACTTCTGCCGATCCGCGTGGCCCTCACATTCCAAATCCTCCACCTTCCAGTCCCGGCAGTGAGATGGACATTGCGTCGCCTATCCGCGATCCTATGGATGATCTATCACAAGAGCTCGACGCTTTGGTCGCGGAGGAACTCGCGAAGGACGACCACCAGTGAAACCCAGCATCCAGCACATCTGAGAGTCAAGAACAACATCTGAGACATCTGAGTGCTAATCTCACAGCCATCGTGCAGTCGACAACGATGTGACACTCGTATTTTGAGTATCGTGTTCTTGCACAACGGGTATCTTCATGTAACTACACGAGATTCTTGCCGTGACTATGCATGATTACATAACTGCCTTTTTGTTCAGAGAACACGTATACATACGAGTCAATCTCCGATCGCAGCCTTGCACAGACAGAAAAAATCCTTGCGAACAGTATGCACTTGAATCAACATGCTCCATTGTGCAGCACAGTCTTGTCTGACATCGTGGCTTAGTATCAAGACACGTTGCTTCCCAACAAATCTGCATTCTGCTTCTGAGTCTTGCAGCATCTCAAGAGCCAGTCCGTTTTCTTCTAGCTTTGTCCACCCATGGGAAAGGTGTGCAAGCAACCCATCATCCACAAGAAGGGCAAATTCCGTGCTGCACAGAAGAAGCCTGCCATCAAGAAGGACAAGTTGTGGAAGGACACACCGTATGTCCGAGAGCAACTCCTTGTTGGTCCACGCGGACAACGCAAGGACCAGATCAAGTGGCAACGCAGTCTTCCTCAGCTCCTCATGGCCAGCGACAAGAAGATTATCACTATGCTCGTGGCGGACAAGATTTTGCCGAAGTGGAAAGGGAAGACGTGCCCTCACTGTCAGGTTGGCATCTTGTCCGACCTATGTGTGGAAAAGCGCACCTCTTTGTACAAACATCGGTGCAGCTCCCGCCATTGCCACAAGTATGTGAGCCCTCACCACTTGCATCCGGTATTCACCCAAGGAACGGGTTCATCTTCACGGGGCCTCCAGATACAAGCATCTCTTCTGCTACTTAAACTGCTACGCGTACCACATCCAGCCATCCACGTCCTCTTGAATGTGAACCACAAGGCTATCGAAGACATGGAGACGAGGATTTGCGACCTTCGTAAAGCATTCGTGGAAAAGCAGGAGAAAAACATCGTGTTTGGCGACGGCAAAACCTGGAAAGATGTGGAAGCAGCAACTTGTCGTCTACATCATGTTGTCTGGCTTTGGTGTATTTCGAATAAAGATTGTGGAATCTCAGAGATAAAGCTTCGGAAGTAAGACATAAACAAACAATGCTCTCAGACACTCAACAAATACATGCAAGGATGAAGCTACATTCGACAGAAGGGATATTTCCCAGGATGTGGACTTCAAGCACCTCGTGAAGAACAACAAAACCACGACCATGTGGGAACAGTGGGCGGGGGTAATCCAGCGAGGCCGCCCTGAAACGCTCATACTCTCCAGGTTGAAGCCGAAACTCACTGTCAAGCGAGCACCAGGGCCAGGAGCAATCAGGCGCACCGAGTGGAAGACCCTAGGAACGAAGCTTCTCAAGGACCGCAAGGTTGTCCTCCACACGGATGCGGCCCGGTCCTACAAGGCCAAGATCGACGGTGTCATTCACGACAAGGTAGTTCATGCCAAAAAGCGCGTGAAGCGCAACGGCAAGTTCATCTGGCAGAACCCGAAGTATGTCAAGGTCGTGACCCACAAGATCCCTAAGTCCAACAAAAAGATCGTTGTGAAGTCTGGAACACAGATTATCGATCGTTGTTGGAGGTTTTTGAAGGACCGGGTCAGAGTGAACCAGCACACCAAGGCTGGTAGCAGACAGCTATGTGCCAAACTGAGGTCTGCTCAATATGAGTATTGGTACCGTAATGAGGACCAATGGCTTAAGTTTGGCGAACTGTGCGCTGATAACATGCGCAAGTTTATGAAGTAAGTCTGTCTACAATGACAACGACTCTGATCTTCGCTCGCGTGAGGCACCTTTCGAGCGACTAGCTCCCTCAGACCGCCCTTCTCTGCTGCATCTGGTGGTTCGAAAACATCGTTTCGTTCGCTTGTAACTGCTGTACTGTGCTGTAGAATCGTCGCTGCTGGTTGTCTTGCTTTAACTGTTTTTTCGCAATCCCATGAAACGATGTAAACGAAAACGTCCGTGCATTCTCCCTGCAAGTGCATCTGGTATGAGCTATGTTGTCAATCATGTGCAGGCATGCGGCACACACACACACAATCTCTCTCACACACACACATGCAGTCGTTTGTGTCACTCGCACCCAAGTGATACGGCAGCTCTGCCCTATCACTCACAGCACATGAAGACAACACGTGCGGTATATGTATGAGTTTACATACCAAAAGAGCAGTGTATACACATGCAGTCCTTTGTGTCTCAAGTGATACGGCTGCTCTGCCCTATCACTCACAACACATGAAGACAACACGTGTGGTATGTGCGTGCGTGTACGTAACCAGACCATGAAGACACGTGCGGTATATGCATGAATTTATATATCAAAAAAGTAGTTTATACACATGCAGTCCTTTGTGTCACAAGTGATACGGCTGCTCTGCCTTATCACTCGCAACACATGAAGACAACACGTGTGGTATGTGTGTGCGTGTAGGTAACGACAAATAATGTATACACATGCAGTCGTTCGTGTCACGCATGTTCAAGTGATACGGCAGCTCTGCCCTATCACTTATCTTGCATGAACACCATACTTACAAGCGTTCTTGTTCAGTCTTTTCTGGCGGTGGTGTTACACAGCGACTCAGCTGCAATTAGAAAAGGTCCTGGCTCAAGTTCTGGACCCATGGCCGGAAAAAAATTGGTTATGTAGCCGTTTGAAATGTATTTGGGTTCATTTTGATGTGGAGCAGTAATTCGGTTTTCTGGTTGAATAGCTGTACGTTGGTATCTTGTCTGATCTTCCATTGGAGAAACGCTCCCTCAGTGCCCGAAGAAGCAATCGAACCGTTAGACTGCACGAAGCTGCTGCAACTCAAGAACGCTATCGTAGGAACAGGTCGAGTCGGAGATCGTCCCTGCAAAGCAGACGCCATGGAGACTTGGTCCTTTGATGTGGTGATATGGCAGCATCTCCCGGTATGTGTCGCAGATGATATCCTCAAGTTAGTCTTGGGTGTTGTGCCCGTGAACCCAATGGTTGTACCTAAAGCTCCAGTTGAGTGGCCTCGCCGCTATGTAAATCTTCCGAACGGAATCCTGGTCGCGGTTAGTATATCGTAGTACTGTAAGCAGAAACATCACTGCTGAGCTCAAAGTCTTGGTCTTGCATAAGGAACAGTGGTTTGGCGCTGCAAGGGCAACTGTTTCACGTACGACGACGATGACGATGAACGACGTCTCACACAGTTGGAGTACGCCTTGCTCCTAGACGAACTCGCCAAGCGAGCTCACTGACGGGGCATCCTCGCGCAAAAACAAGCGGCCATGGGATCGGAACTAAAGTTATTTTTGTTGGTGTGTAGGGTGTCTTCGTACTTTGTTTTGAAAACCTCCCGCCCAGCTCAGGTGATGCCGCGGCGAGTGGAGTCTGTGGCTTTGGGGTTGGGGTCGGTTAGAGGTTTGGGTTGGATAACATTTTAATAGGACACAGTAGAGCACAAACAGTCAAAGCGCGGATTCGGGAGGGGGGGGGTAGCATATATATATATATATGTGTGTATACCTATATATATATATATATATATATATATATATATAATGTCCGATTCTATTTTTGCAACACGCCTCTGCGTCGCACGGGCAAACTCATGCAGCGGTGGCTACGATTTGGATATGCGGATTCGGAAGGCACCCAAAGAATCACGAAGGGAACCGGTACTTCGATTTCAACGCCAGAAGCCCCCGCTAAACCCCGAAGCACCCAAAAGCATGTTCTTCATTATCGCTTCTGTCTTCTGTCCTTTTTGAAATAAGTTCGCTAAAGCTGAAGTAAACTTTCGCACTTAAACAGTCAGATCCTAGAACCGGGCGTTCAAGGCTTTATCCACTCCCCACAACGCGCCAGCAAGACCACGGGAGAAAACCTGGCCGCCTCAACGCCAGGCCTGACATGGGGTTGAGGGTTCTCAGGTTCAGGCATCGGGCTCAAGCCTGTCGGATTCGAGGTGCAGGAGAAACGCAATCTGAGAGCCCAGAAGCCGTTAATTCAGGAACAAGCTTTCGGGCCTTTTGCCGAATCATTGTTACACCGGCTAATGATACATACGGGCCTTAAACTAGTTCTGTTTAAGTTTCTGGATACCTTAAGTTTCGTCAACCTGCTGCCATTTCCAAAACTCCCAAAACAACCTGTAAAAGACATCAAGTCAAGCTACATGGACTCAGTCTGGATTTCCCAGCTTCGGCTTCCGAAAGGAAAACCCGAACCTTAAGCCCTGAACTCGCATCCACCCCTAGCAGCCATGAACCCCTGTAGAGTCATAGAGTCGATATAACTGGTATACATTCTGTGTGCTGGTACCGCTAAATGCCGCTAGTATGCCCCAATTCCTTACTCTAACTAATTCTTGAGGTCCAATGCTTTCGGACGCAATCAAGTGCAGCGTCAAAGGGAGAAGCCGTTTAGATTTCGTTTCCACTATGGTTACGGGACCGATACTGCCAGGGGAAGGAGGGTTGACCACCCATAATATAGGGGCCTTAATACTTAGAATATAGTTTTGTGGCCCAAATATACTGTAACTATACTAAGGAGACCCCCAAAATAGTCTTGGTAATTATTACGGCCCCTATGTTACCAAAAGAGAAAGTTGAAAAAACGCATGGATGATCGCTTAAAGGGGGTGGAAATCTTAGGTGAGGAGGCAACTGGAGCCACACGTGCCCCCTGTGAAGGTCGAAACCATTCGTAGTAGCATTCTTTATACTCAGACTATACACGAGTCGCCCTTCCTTGCGTAGTGTAGGGGCCTGAGAAATTAGAATAGGGTGTTGGGTGCTCCTTATTATGATTCTTTTTTGCCACCCAAAACCCTATTCAATTAATTAAGGCCCCTACAATAAATCCTTTTAATAGCCCAAGTAGCCCGTATAGACCCCTTTGAAAGGAACCCTGTTCTAATTATTAAGGCCCTTACAATACCCCTTAGTCTTCTTCCTCAAGAGCTCCCAGGCGAATCCGTTCCTTTCGTGCTCGGAGGAACATGTCATGCCAGCCTACTTGGTATGCCCAATAATCCTATATCCTAAACCTTAAATCCTGAACCCTAAAGCCAAAACCCTGCACCCTAAACCCAAAAGGCCAACCCTTAAACTCTAAACCCGAAAGCCAACTCCTAAACCTCGAAGCCGAAACCAAAACCCAAAACCCCACACCTTACCTGTTCTTTCTTAAGAAGAAGCAGCGCAGGGCCTCGATCCGGGACCAGTCTGCACAGCAGGGTTTTGGGCTTCTGCAGTCTTCACTATTTCCGATGGGATTGTGAAATGCGTCCAGTCAATCTTCTTTGTGGTTTAGGGCTGCGGGGAGTTGGAGTTTTACCGTATGGCTGCGGGGCTTTAAGTTTTATGATTTGGAGGTTCGGGACTCGGAAGTTGGAAGTTTTCTTGGTCTGCAAACCGCCAACGAACCTGTGAGGCATGACAGGGTTTGCTGCGGCTTGCTCTACAGATCGTTCTTTAGCGGGGGCTTTTAAGAGTTCGCCTCCGGACAAGGTGATCCTACCCCAAAGATTGCAATATCTGGCAATTTGGGGATAGATGGGACAACTACCTGCTATGTATACACGCAAAGGTTTAGTGAAAGGTTATCACTGTGTTTCTGTGCTGAGTAACCTTTACACCGGGAAGCACACCCCATGTGCACCCAACTGCTGTCTCCAACAACCAACCCCTATTGGACCAAACCGTGACCAAACTCCGCAAACCAAGTCCTAGACCCTCCACCCCAACACACTATCGATTAGTGATAAATCCCAAGCCCTCGGTGCCGGCCACCGACATGCACGAAGTCCTCAACCCTACACTCTGGACCTGGAACCAAACGCTCTGAAGCGTTCAGCCTACAAGTCGTGAAGCTGCAAGGGCTGGGGCTTCCTGTAGTCGGTGGTTTTAGCCCAAGAACCCGAACCCAAATCCCGAAACGCTAGACACAGACCCAAGCAAAGTCAAGAAACTCCAGACCTTGAGCCCTGCAGCCTCTTTCAAAAGAAGTCTTACGGTTTAGGAGTTTAGGTTTAAGCTTTATGGTCAGGGCCCCCAAACAGGCTTCGGTCTGGGCCTCATCCTCCTCTTCCGTCACAGCCGTCGGCACCGGCATTTCCTGGTAGCCAAAGATTTCGAGCTTGGTTCGATCATCTTCGGGTTTAGGCTTTGGGGTTTAGGTTGTAGGGTTTTGTTCTAGCATTTGGTCTCCGGGTTTCACGGCTTTTGTTAGGGTTTTTGCTTGTACTTTCCAGAAGCCCTTAAGCAGGGGGTGTGGATGTAGGATTGTATTTCCAAGCAGTTCCACATACTGATTAAGTCGCGAGTAGGTAGATTGAAACGAAACAACTGACGAAACCCCTGGTCATCATCAGCACGCCCACGGGGTCACTGTACAGTAGTACAGATAGTCGACTGACCGGACAGGTGGTTCCCGCAGTCTTGCGAAATGTCTCTCGCCAGTGACTTTTGCGATGAGTTCCGTAGCATCTGTAGTGCATCTGTTGCATCTTGTCCTCTGTTGATGTAGGTCGACGGATCGAACGTCCCCCTCCCATTTGTTACGCACCCTGCATCCGCTTCGAGATGAGCTGATTGGTTCTGAACTTGCGGAACAGGTATCGTCCCTTCGGGGTCTTGGGTGTCTTGACACTTCTCGAGTGTTCCAAATTTTCTTCGTTTTGACTTCTCTGCTGACCTTTGTTCGTTCATCGATTCCGCTGAGCGTGGAACCCTGAACCCTAAATCCTATAGAACCT